GCGCGCCCGTTACCTTGGAGAAGAAGTTGATGCTGTAGGTGATGGTGCGCATGGTCACGGGGTGGCCCCTGATGAAGAAGCCTCCAAAGTACACGCGGTCCAGGCTGTGCAGCCGCGCATGGAGACAGGCCAGCTGCCCAATGTCGTTGCTGATCATGTGCAGCAGGCTCTTGGCCATGTCTTCCTTGGAGAACTCTGGAGAAAGGAAGGAAAAGGCGCTCGTGTCCAAGCACAGCAAGTGCCTGATGTGACAGCAAGCGGGAGCGGAAGGGGAGAGAGAGCTGAGTGGGAGGACATGGGGGAGAGAGCTGAGCGGGAGGGGAGAGAGAGCTGAGCGGGAGGGGAGGGGGAGAGAGAGCTGACTGGGGGAACCCCAGCCCCAGCGTGGGAGGCTGCGTATGATGCGTGGGAGGGGAGGGGAGAGAGAGCTGAGTGGGGGAACCGGAGCCCGAGCGTGGGAGGGGAGGGGAGAGAGAGCGGAGCCCAAGCACCGGAGGGGAGGGGAGGGGAGAGCTGAGTGGGGGAACCTGAGCCCGAGCATGGGAGGGGAGAGACAGCTGAGTGGGGGAACCAGAGCCCGAGCGTGGGAGGGGAGGGGAAAGAGAGCTGAGTGGGGGAACCGTAGCCCAAGCGCCAGAGGGGAGGGGAGGGGAGAGAGAGCTGAGCGGGGGAACCGGAGCCCGAGCGCCAGAGGGGAGGGGATAGAGAGCTGAGTGGGGGAACCATAGCCCAAGCGCCAGAGGGGAGGGGAGGGGAGAGAGAGCTGAGTGGGGGAACCTGAGCCCCAGCATGGGAGGGGAGAGAGAGCTGAGTTGGGGAACCTGAGCCCGAGCATGGGAGGGGAGGGGAGAGAGAGCTGCGCGGGGGAACCGGAGCCCAAGTGCCGGAGGGGAGGGGAGGGGAGAGAGAGCTGAGTGGGGGAACCGGAGCCCGAGTGCCGGAGGGGAAGGGAGAGACAGCTGAGCGGGGGAACCAGAGCCCGAGCGCGGGAGGGGAGGGGAGAGAGAGCTGAGCGGGGTACCAGAGCCCGAGCGCGGGAGGGGAGGGGAGAGAGAGCTGAGTGGGGGAACCGGAGCCCAAGCGCCGGAGGGGAGGGGAGGGGAGAGAGAGCTGAGCGGGGGAACCAGAGCCCGAGCGCCAGAGGGGAGGGGAGGGGAGAGAGAGCTGAGTGGGGGAACCGGAGCCCGGGCGCCGGAGGGGAGGGGAGGGGAGAGAGAGCTGAGTGGGGGAACCGGAGCCCGAGCGTGGGAGGCTGTGTGTGATGCGTGAATCATTCCTGGACGGATTAGGCTTTGTTTTCAGAGAGAAAAAAACCCGAATCGCTTTTCCTAACTCAGAGGAACTGTTTTTTCCTCCAAAACCAAGACCACGGTGTTTATTCACCAACATTCTGAGCACTCGGCCTGCGCCATGGTGACTCGGCAGGAAGAGGTTGCAGGACCCTGACTCTCCAGGGAGCGGGTGCGGTAAAGTTAACAATGGGGGAAGCTCCTGTCCCCAAGACCCCAAGTGTCCCCACCCCCCTTCTCTCTGGCGGCAGAGGCCAGGGCCGGCACCTTGGTCGGCGGTGGCTGACTTCCCGAAGCTGCTGGCGATGAGGTTGCCGCTCAGCCCGAGTGTCTGGTGGGCACCACCGTAGACGTCCCGCACCAGCATGTCCACGTTGCTGTGCTGGCCCCTCGAGGCCAGGTGCAGGAGTTCGTCAAACTTCTGCGGGACACGGCGAGGGGGCGGGTGAGGCGCCGGGAGCTGCTGGAATCCCCACGACCCCAGAAACCAAGCCCACCCGGGAGGAGGCACACGTGGGCAGAGGGTGAATGGGCCCTCATCACGCGGGACCAAAGGCAGGAGGCAGCAAGGGGGACCCTCAGGCCACCCAGTCAGGAGCAGCTCTGGCTGCTGGGACACCCGTCCTTCAGGGCACAGAGCCGAGCCGCAGAGGCCAGAGACCCGCCGAAGCGAGTCAGGAGGGAGGCCCGGAAGCAGCTTTTGCACCTCCCAGCCACAGGCCTTTGGAGGACAGGAAGTGGACATCTCTGTAGACCCCGGAGGGCCTCTGGCAGCCGCCGCGTACCTTCGTTTTGGTGAGCAGAGCCCCGAGCCCCCAGAAGGTGCCGCCTCCGATGGAGCTGCCGCCGACCCACTCGAACCTGTCCTCCGTCTCCACCTGTAGCAGAGCCAGGGCAGGTGCGTGCACAGCAGACCCTCAGCCACACAGGTCCCCCCACCATCCCCGCACCGCGTGCTGCGCTGCGCTGGGGCGAGCCCCGCCCCCACCCCAGAACCGCCAGTGGGCGGACTCTCGATGGCAGAGCCTGGGGGCGCTGATGCCCCTCCCACAGCGGCTCTGAGCTCAAGGCTTCACCCCCCACCCACTGGGCCCCAGTCCTGGCTCCTGCTCCTGCACACAGCTTCACAAACTGTGGCTGAACCATCCACTCATTCATTCACGAAGCCAGGCCTCACCTTCACAATGGAGACTCCAGAGCCAATATTGACAAGAAGATAGGGGAAAATGTGGGGGTGGTTGGTCTGGAACCGGAACTCAGGGTCGGAATCCTTCTGGTACACGAAGGCCTCGTGGGGGATGTTCTTGAGCACAAAGTTGCACCCCTTAATCAGGCATGTCATCACATCCTCCTTGTCGACTCTGAAAAGAAAGTGCCAACCCCTTAAAGAGTACAGGCCACAGACGGGTGTAGCACGCAGGCCTGCCCGGCCCAGAGGGGCAGCCGGGCCCAGTACAGACCACAGACGGGTGCAACACGCAGGCCTGCCCGGCCCAGAGGGGCAGCCGGGCCCAGTACAGGCCACAGACGGGTGTAGCACGCAGGCCTGCCCGGCCCAGAGGGGCAGCCGGGCCCGTGCATGATCCGAGGCACAATCGGACGCACGAGCACCAGGGACTTGGGGCAGCCACATGTTCCTTCCTTGCCCTCGAGGTCCCACTCACTTCAGCCGCAGCTTCTCTTCGATGAGGTCTTTGAACTTGTAGGCCCCGCCCCCGGTCGCCTGGATGACCTTGGTCTCTGTGTTGACGAGATGGTCTTTGATGAAGTCCAGGCAGGCTTCGATGTAGGTATTCTCAAACTTAATGAAGTGCAGTCGAGCAGTGATCTCTTCTTGAACTGAGATCTCGTAGGGCGGCTCGTGATCACGTTCTGTGTCCTGGAAAAGAGAGTAGGGGAGGCCGCATGAGTGTGGGGCACCGTGCTGGGCTGGGCCGGGCACACCCTGCCCTAGCGGAGCTGGCCGTTCACACCAGCCTTCAACCAGGCAGGGCTCTGAGGCAGAATCCTGGGCAAGAGGGAGGAGCCCAGGACTGTGGCGACCTCAGGGCCACCCAGCAGGAGCAGAAGCCTCCCCCAGCGGGAGCACGGGCAGGCACAGGTTCCTGAAAAGGGTCTTACAGGGACACGGTGGAAGGCAGGGGAGGCTGTCTGTGCTAGAAACTCCCAGGACATGGAAGCCGAGGTCTGCGGCAGCAGAGGGGTGACTGTGTGACAAGTGCCAGGTTCAAGATGACAGAGGAGCGGCTGCCCCGCCCCGGGAGGTCACGGCGCAGGCTCACCTTTCCCGAGTGGTCGAAAGACCGCACCTTGGCGACTTTGTGCTGCACTGTTGAATAGTAGGCCAGCTTGGTTAGCGACCCGCCTGCAGGGGAGACATACACCGGGCAGAATTCAGGACCAGGACAGAGCGGGGCTGGGGGTCCACATCCCCCACGCTCTTTGGGTGTCTTGGAGACTAAAATCTCTGTGGATGAGGGGTTTGGGGCTACTGGAATTTAAAAACCCTGTGGGCGCAAAAGAGACGACGGGAAAATGAACGATCAAATCTACACTTTTCTTTTTCCAAATTCTGCTCCTCCTCAGCTCCCTGGCCAGACTGAGTTCAAGAGGTCCCACTTCCCCATGGCACCAAGTCCTGCAGATGAAAGGGAGAGCTGTCTTGCTTTGGGTAACCTTGGTTATCCTCATTGCTTTAAGAAAATTCAGTTTCAAGTGATCTTGCTAATGACCCAAAGCGAAAAGCTGACAAATCCAGGCGTTTTAAGAAGTACACCCTCGTTTTAAGAAGTACACCCTCAACACAAAGGAGGCTCTTTTCACAGCCCAGGGCAGTCACCCGGCCTGAGCAGCTCCCCTACCCTGGAGAGGCAAACGGTGCCGCTGGCCACTCTCGAGAGGTTCTGGGCAGAAAATGCAGCCCCAGCCCCAAAGTAGCCAGAAGTCGTCAGAGGTCACCAAGGTCTCTTTCCCCAAGGGCCAGAGTGTGTCTGCGGTTCCACGGAAGCCCTGCGGCTCCCAGGACGATACTGTGATCAAAGGTTGGAAGGGGCTTTACGCACCTGAGCCCGGTTTCAGGGAAAGGTGAAAAGATTCTCGGAGAAGGCCTTTAAGGACAAATTCTTCTAAGTTTAAAAAAAAAAAAGGACATTTTTGAGGCTACAGTAGTATTCATAGATTTGAAGCTCCATGAATGACAGACAGAGAAAGAAACAAAATGTGTGACTTTAAGTTCACCGTGTGGTGTACAGTGACTGAACAGAGTGCATTTTTTACGGGGCCTGAAAAAAAGAGGCAAAAATCCCGCATCATGAGAGTAAGGAGGCTAAAGCGATGTTCAAATGATTGTGTTCTGACAAAATACTATAAGGTTGAGAACAAACACTCATCGGTAAAGAGATCTGGAAACAGCCAGTGTTGTTCACGTAACAAAACCCATCGTGGCCAGGCCCCACAGCAGCCGCCTCATGGCACTGCCTGCCTGGTGGTGAGTGCGGGCTCCCCGACGGCCGGCATACAGTCCAGTGGACGCGTCACAGGATCAACCTGATCCCCTGGCCCATGGCTTTAAGCCTCCTTGTCCCTCCCCCTGCCCCCAATCCTGGCCAGGCCTGGAGAGTCTCACTAAAATGCACCATGTTGTCGACTCACCTCGGCAAATAAATCATTTTCTAAAATGACAGATGATGCAAGAGGATGAAGATCTATTTTAAGAGACTCATCAAAAGTCACTATAAACAAACTCTCAGGTCACAGAAATCCAGTTTCAGGACCTGGGTTTTTTGTGTTAAAGACACGCCCAAACAGGATGTACTGGGGTTGGGACAGCGGTGGGGGTGGGTTGGTTTCTGCAAGATACGCATCCTCCCTCCCCGAGACCCCCTGCACTGAGAAGCCTAGCAAAGCCAGTGTTCCCTCTTCCTACTCCCCACACCCGGGGGGAACAAAAGGGGGCCTGAGGTGCGAGGAGGGCACCCAGAGCAGGAGGTCTTTTGGAGCAGAGGGAGCCTGTGGGCGGGGATCCTTCCGGGCCAAGCTCAGGGGCCCCTTGGAATCACAACAAACCGCCTGGCAAGGCAGTGACAGGCTTGCCCCCTGGGCTCTCCAGGCTGCCCGCGCTCCGCTCTGAGGCCAACAGCATCGGCTGGCTGGTGGGGAAGGGGGCTTCCCAGAGGTTTGGTCACATGTGCTCTTCACACCTGAGCCAAGGCCTTCTAGTTCTCCCTGTCCCACAGGCCCCCGTCCCTTCTTCCATTCTCTCTGGTCCTGTCTTTCCTCTTTGGGCACCAATGGAGGGCAGGACAGCCCAGCAGACACCACGGCCCTGTGGCCCCTTCCTGTCCCACACGCCCCTGAGAAACCCTCTCCACCGCCCGCAGAAACCTAAAATCAGATCAAAGCTGCAGGTGTGTTTTGAGAAACGCAATGTCCCTGCTGGTTTCAAAGAGGTGAATCTGCTCAGCATATACCAGCGTCCCATCGAGGGGAAACCAGCTTGCCAAAACCCAGGGCAGGTGAGCTTTCCTGGATCGGGAAACATGGGCAAGGGAAGAGGAAATGGGAGAAGCCTGCTTTTAAACAATACTATTGACAAGCACATTGTCTTTGAGGGTTCCTGGGTTGAAGACACCCCACCCTCAGCCGTGGCCTCCCAGCAGCTGGGTCAGGAGTAACAAACAAAAGGTCTTCTCTCAGCGTCAGTCAATAGGTCCTCCTAAGAACCAGAGACACAGGACCCAGACACAGGGCGAAACTTTGAAGAGAGGAAATAAATCCCAGCACTAAACAGGCCTCTTAGAGTGTCCTTCTACCAAGAAACCCTCTGGGCTCAGCCCGGAGAAGAGGCTGGTGCTCCAGGGCCCTCCAGGGCTGCGACAGCCCTTCCTGGATGGTTCCAGCTCTGCGGTTTCGCTGGCCTCTGGTGGCCACACAGAACGTCCACGGTGAGCCCTGTTCTCCTGGCCATTCCCCAGGTGACTTATGCAGGTCAACTGCAATTGCATTTCACAAATATTTAATCCCGACTTGTTCCCGGTAACAGAATCCCCCAGTGTAAGGGCAGCAGAACCTTTCAGAGCACACGCTCTACCGAGCCCAAAGGTCTCAGAAGGCTGGGGAGCCTCTGGCGAGGCCTGCAGTAGACGATCCCCTAAGCTGGGGCTGCAAGCTCAGCACCTGCAGTCCAATAGGCAGTCAGTTCCAAGTCCTATGAGGGTTCCCTAAAGATGCTACTCACACATCCTCATACCTGGCACCAGGCCACACCCCTAAGAAGCACTGCCTCTCATAAGCTCACTGCAAGGTGGGAGCCAGGACCTACAGCTGCTTCCATTCTCATGCCCCCACTTCCCTAGAGGACACCCTTCCCTGGCTGGGCACCTCAGAGAGATGGTGACACCAACGACCCCAAGGACATCACAGCAGCAAACATGTTGGATGCACCAGGAGCATACAGTTCAGAGGGAATGGCCTGGGTCTGAGTCCCAATTTTTCCAGGGAGGTGGGAAGCAGTCAGCGGGAGGCCCATTCATCCCAGTATTTACTGGGCGGCAAAGACAGGTCGGGTATCCTTTTGGGGGCTGGGGCTACAAGACACACCCCCGCTTTTGTGGGATTCACACATAAGCGAACTCAGCCTACAGCAGAAACGTGTGCTAAGAGGGAGAGATGTGTGAAGCGGCAGTGGCTATTCAAGGGGGTTTCTTCTGGTGAAGCTGCCCCCAGGAAGCCCTCATGTCTGAAACATGGGCAGAGTAGGAGAGTAGGGAGTGGCAGGTTCAAATCCTGGTTCTGCCACTTTCTAGCCGGATGACCCTGGGCAAATTAGTTCACCTTTCTGGGTCTTAGTATCCTCATCTAGGAAATGGGAGTAATTCGCGTTTCTCCTCTAGGGGTGTGATCCAGGAGTCAGGAGCGTGGGAAAAGGGTCTAGAACAGAGCCTGGCCAGCCGTCATTACTGAGAGCACTGCCATCAGGCAGGAGGGTCTGCAGCGGACCCTGGAGAGGCCAGGGCAGAAATGCAGGCCGCCTTGAAGGCCACGGAAGGCACGAGTGGCTTTTAAACCAGAGGCACGAGTTCCCAGGACCTACGTCCACGGCCGCCTGAACTCACGCCCGGTGTCCACTCTCCAGAGAGCGGGGCCTATGCACGGACTGTCCGGCCCGCGGGCCACAGCTGCCCAGGCCTCGGGAACGCGGGGCCTTTTCGGGGCCACTCTGCCAAGGGCTTCCCGCCGAGCTCGTCCTCATCTAGACCAGAACTAAGGACCCCAATTCTCAGGCCAGCCACCGGCCAAGCGGCAGAGCCGGGGCGCCCAGCTGCCCATGCGGCCGAAGACATAAAATTCCGTATGCTCCAGGTCCAGGCTGGCCGCCGACCCTCCCACCTCGCGGCGGGTAACGCTGGACTCCGGCCCCCAGCCTCCCAGGACGACCGCGCGAACTACCAGGCCCGGCAGGCCCCGCTCTGGTCCCTGCGGCGCCTGCCGGGAGCTGTAGTCCGGCCGTCGCCCCGATCCTGAGCATCGGCGCCACCGCGGACTACAAGGCCCGTGAGGCTGTGCGCGGGGTCCGCGGACTACAAGGCCCGTGAGGCTGTGCGCGAGGCCCGCGCCCCCGCCCTTCGTCCTTCCCGCCGCCCCCGCTCGCCGGCCCACCGCCGGCGCCCCGCCCGCCCCCGCCGCCCGCACCCAGCGCCCGGCCCGCGGCTACCTATGTCGATGGCGAAGCGCTTGGCGTTCTCCAGATTGCGGAAGATCTCGTCGGGGGGCAGCGTGATGCTCTTGTCCAGACTGTCCCCGCTGCTCCCGCTGCCGCTTGCTCCACACTCCGCCATTTTGAAAGTGCCCGGCCAGCTCATCAGCCATGGAGATATATGCGCATATATTTGACTGCTAAACGCCCATCGCATAGATTATGTTAATGAGGCGCCGGCCCCGCCCCCCGGCCTCTGAAGTCTCGGCCGCTGACTAGAGCCAGTCCTGGGCAGGGGTCTGAGAGGCCCGGGGCGGCGGGCGGGCGGGTGGTTATCCTCCAGAGATCGCACATCAGCGCTGAACATCTGATGTTCTTTTACCGCGCTGTCCACAGGCTTAACTCAGGTGCTCTGAGCCTTGCTGAGGGAGGCCGCGGAGGCCGCCCACCTGCTTCTAAGGGGGCACGTGGGTCTGCAGACCGTCAGAGAGCCCTGCCCTTCAGCGAGTGCCTGCTGTAAGCTTGGCCTTGCACACCAGGGCGAATGTGATGCGGTCTTTGCTAGGGTGACTCAATCCTGGCTTCCCAGGGGCGTGGGACTTTCAATGTTAAAAGTCCCATGCAAACTAGAGGAGTAGGGAACCGTGCCCCGTGTGGGAGGAGCCCAGCCTGGCATAGCACCTGTGGGAAGGGAAGATGTGTGCTGTAATGGCGATCTGTGGAAAGTGCTGTGGTCGGGAGAAGCCAGGCAGGCTGCCTGCGGGCAAGACAGGTGCCTGGGATGCTGCAGGAACACGCCTCGGAAGCAGCTGGAGCCAGGAGAGGGGTATAGGTGGGGCAGGCCAGGGTTCCAGGGTGAGTGGCTGGGAAGCCGTGGTGGCATGAAGAGATGCATCTTCTCTAGAGGCTCTGGGCACCTTGGGAAAGAGCCCAGTGTTGGAAGCAGACAGATCAGCCCCTCCCGGGTAACCCGGGGTCATTACTGCACGTCTCTGGCCCTCAGCCTCTGTCTGCGCGTGGAGAATGCCACCAGCTGTCTGGCAGGGCTCCTAGGAGCACAGGCCTGTGGGGCAGCACAAATTCCAGGGATAAAGCATCTGTGTGCCCGGGGCAAGGCTTTGGAGAGGAGGCATCCTTGCCTGTGTCTTCCAAGGGTATGGGTGTGTGGCTCTGGACGCGGAGCCTGCCCCAGGGAGGCCTGAGTGGAAGAGTGGAGCACACCCCAGGCGGCTTAGACCTCTGGCAGCTCAGACCCCTGGCAGCATGGTGTGCCATGGGCCAGCCTGGCAGGAGGTACCCTCCACGAGGGGCGCCCACCTGTGTGCCCACTGAACATGCGGGAAAAATGCAGGCGAATGGGGGCCCTCCTTGTGCTCTGCCCACCATTCCTGGCTGCTTGGTAGGGACTTCAGGAGGCCACTGGCAGGCACTGGGTTGGCCTGGCGGGGGGGACCCTGTCTAGACATTGCCTGCGGAGTAGCCAGAAAGGGGCTGAAGGCTGAGCGGGGTGAGAGGGGCTGAGCAGGAAGGAGCAGGCAGGGCAGGTCCACACCCGGGGCTGCCACTCAACGGGGATGGGAATGCGGCCCACTCCGGCCCAATCCTTGCTGGATGGATTTTGCCCCCTGGGAGCTGGTTCCTGGGAGCTGTAGGCCTCAGTTCTTGCAGACTCAGCCAACACCCTGTGGCCTGCCTAAAAATACATGCCCTTTCTGAGACGAGGGATGGCCCCGTGCAGGCTCCTGCTAGGACTGCCGGATTCTGCTCTGTCACAGTGGCCAGCGGGCAGGTGTCCCTGGAGCCCATGCCAGGACGGGTGCTGCAGGCCGTGGGAGTACGGCAGCAACTGGGGCAAATGTTTTCTCCTGTTTGGCCCGGTCAAGCCCCTTTGACTGTAGCGAGAGGTCTACTGTGGGCTGTGGCCCTGGGTCCCCTCTCAGTGGACAGAGCCTAAGGTCCTGCACTGTCATCTTGCCCCACCCCTACCTTCTGGGAGCTAGTGAAAGGCCTGGGAGGGAGACCCACCCAGGGCTCTGACCACGTCCACCCCTCCAGCCCACCTTCCCCTGCCCCTGCTCCTCACCTGCTTTCCCTCCCTTCCTCCCTCCCTCCCGCTGTTCTTCGGGAGCAAGGACCCCACCCTTCTTCCTGGGTCCAGCGGGCCACTGGCAGGGGTCCCTCCCTGCTTAACTGCTACCGCGGCCCTGCCCATTCCCCTTCACCCCCTGCAGACCCTCCCCGTGGCTGCCAAGGACAGGTGTGAGGCACAGCAGAAGATAGACCATGGGTGGGGAGGGGGGCTGAACAGTCAGATTTTATTAGCGGCTTCAGAGCAGTCCCGTGGCTTCCACGTGACCGAGAGTTCAATTTCTGAGTACAGTCATGCCCACATGCATCCACCCACACAGAGGAATCCTTTAAGGATCATAGTGGAGGCACCCACCCTCCCCAGACAGCCCACTGTGAGCTCCAGCCAGACCACCAGGCACACTCGGAGCCTTTTGGCCACAGCCCGCAGGGTCCTGGGCGCCCGTCCGGGGTGATCACCGCTTCCTATGAGGATACAGCTCAAGTTCGGCCTTCACAAAAGGCAAATGTGCCCGCGGCACAGCCCGCCTGCCAGGGGTGTGCCCAGCAGCTACGGGCCCTGAAGAAAGTCCTCTACAGGCTGGGGGCACCGGCGTGCGAACCCCGGCACTACAAATATCATAGAACCCCGGGCGGCCAGGGACTTCCCAGAAGTCACTTGCTTAAATGCAAACACAGAACAACCCCATGGGGTCAGACACTTGGCAGAAGATGGGCCCTGACTGTCCTAAAACGGCAGGGACTCTGCACACACATTCTCTGAGAATGGGGCTCCTGCGGGCCGGCCAGCCTGGGGCTGGAGCCTTCCGAAGAAGGGCGCGTCCAAGCCCTGGGCGGACGACGGCGGGAAGGCGCTTCCCTACAGGCGAGAGGAGCAGGCTCGCCCTCCGGTCCTCGGGCCGCGCGCCCGCAGGTCCCGCCGGTCACCAGGGCCGCCAGAGGCCGCAGGCGGGCTGGCGCGCGGTGGCGGCGGCGGCGGTGGCCTTGGCGGAGAGCGCGGGTGGGGTCGCGGCGCCCGGCGCCTTGGGCTCCTTGGCGGGCGCGGGGGGCGCGGCCGGGGGCCGCTGGAAGTGGTACAGCAGCTTCATCTGCGTGTCGCTGGCGGCGTGGAGCGTCAGGAACTGCACGGCCTCCTGCAAGCACCACGAGTAGCCCTCGCTGTAGTCCTGGTGCAGGCTCTTGGGGCCGGCGGCGGCGACGAAGGCTGCGGGGAGACGCGGCGGCGGTGAGCGGACGGCGGGGCGCGGGGGAGCCGGGGCGCGGTGGGAACTCGGAGCCCGGGGGGCCCGGGTGCGCTCACCTTTGCTGTGCTTCAGGTAGCTGACAGCCATCTCCAGGATGTCGGCCTTCTCCAGCTTGGAGTTGGGCTGGTGCCGGGCGAACTCCTGCTCCAGCAGCAGCTTCAGCTGCTCGATGCTGCTGTTGATGCGGTCGCGACGCATCTTCTCCACCACTGGCTTCCGCAGCTGCGGGAGGAGGGGGCGTCAGGCTGGCCCGGCCCGGCGCGGGGACACCCGGGGACCAGACGCCGCGGGGACAGCGCGCTGGGCGAGCCTGATACTTACTCGGTTTTTCTCTTTAGGGCTTAGCAGCTCCACGGCCACGGTGCTGGGGGCCATGCCTGGCGCGGAACAGGCGAGGAGGCAACACGGGGAGGCCGGGCAAGACGAAGCGAGCGGGAGCGGGCAGGGCCAAGCGCGTCCCGGGCTGGAGCGGACACCGGCCCCGCGCGCCGGCGCCCTATATAGGCGCGGGCGACGGCCTGGCGCCTGGGGTCCTGGCGCCGCCGCCGTTCCCACACTCCGCGACCAATGGCCGCGCGGGCCGCACAAAGGCGCCGGCCCATTAGCGCACGCTAAATTGCCTGTGAATTGGCGCGGGCACAATGGGCGCTCCCCAAGGAGCAGGTGGGCCGCGCGGCACAATGTCCGGGCTGTGGGAACGCGCTCGCCCTCATTAGCATCCCGGGGCCTGATGCCGGGAGCCCAGCGCCTCAATATGCTGCCTTTTCCCAGGCCGCCAAGCGGGGAGGGGGGCAGGAAGGAGGGCCCCCTCTCCCGCCCTCCCCTCAGCTCCCCTCCCCTGCCTCTCCCCAGCGGCTCCCCACTGCTGGCTGGCAGAGGCCGCAGGCACAGATAAGGGAAAAGCTGTAGAATGAACAAGTGCCACGGCTTCCTGGGGGATGGGCATCTTCCCTGGCTGGGACCTGCTGCCCTTCCAGGGGAGGGGGACAGAGGGGTCTACACTCAGGATCGGCCCTACGTGCCTATGTTACAAGTGCCCTGACTGTCACCTGGGACTCCTGACATCTCCAGACCTAGAAAATGGGCCTCGCTCCTTCCTGGCTGGGCTCCCGGCGGCTCCACGAAGCTGGGGCCTGTGCTCCACGTGGAGCCCGGCACCCGGCAGCTCTCTCCGCTTCCTGCACCCTGTCCTCCCAGGAGCCCTGTAACCCACAGCAGCACTGGGGCTGCTCCACGAGCTGGCAGATGTCCCTCAGGGGCCTCTCCCCACCCCTATCTGGCCAGGGATCTGACCTCGGTGTCCACGCAGCTTGGGAGGGCTCGGCTCTTGGCATACTTGCTGTGGCCACTGTTCCTGCATGCCACAGCCCCACCTCATCCCTCTGGCAGCCAGAGCACTTGTAGGGCTTGCTTTCCTCCGGCATTTTGCCAGTGGGAGGGGAGTGGGTGCCAGGTGGCAGACTTGAGGATCAGAGGCCATGCCAGCCCTAGACCCCCCTCGCCCCCACCGGTCCATGGGATGAGCTAATAACCCTGGTACCTGGCCAACTGAGCCGAGCGCCCGCAGCCACTTTGGGGCAATGAATCCCACCCTGGGTCCTTAGGGGAGGGTCCCTTGGGAGACCCCCACCCCCTAGCCTGTGGTCACAGTTCCTCTGATGCTCTGCAGCAGAGACTGGGAGAGGATTCGGGGCCTGGGCTGCCTCCTAGGGACAGGTTGGGACCCTGCCAGGTCCTAGCGGAAGGGCCTCAGCCCCCGGAGCTGGGGCTGGCATCAGGGCTGGTTAGGCAGAGTTTGAATCCAGGAGTGGGGTTCCCTGGCCAGCTGGCAGAGTCCAATGAGGCGCCTTCCCCTGAGGCTCTTGGCAGTGACCCCCGGCTCTGAGTGACCCGCTTGGTGGGCCTAGCTCCAGGAGGCCCTCAGCACAAGGATGGATGGTCCAGGGGGCAACCAGGACAGTGCTGGGACAGCAGGGGAAGGCAGGACTTCAAGCCAGTGCAGGGTGGCCCTCCCACAGGCCAGCTGGACGCCATTGTGAAGAGTTAGGCTGGGAGGCTCCCAGGCAGAAACATCAGGTGACTTTGGAGGTGGCAGGAAGGGAACCCCTATTCACCGTCATACCCCCGCTGGACTCCCACAACACCTCCCTTGAAGGGGACTCATGCCCCAGCCTGTCAGAGGGAGGCAGTGACACTGGGGGCTGGGACTGCTGCACCCTGAGCTGGGGGCTCTTCTCTGAGCAGGTGGGGTCCCACCAGAACGCTCTGGCACTTGATGGATACAGGAGGGCAAACCTGTGTGGGGGTGTCCAGGCCACATGCTCATGCCATGGCTCCCACAGCTCTGGGCACTGATGGCGGCTGGCACTGGCTACGGGTGGTGGACTCCCAGCTACACAGGGGATCTGGTAGTGTTCAGTGGAGCCATTTTGCAGCCAAAGTGGGGTTCATACTGGCGGCAGTGACATTGTGGCATGTCCGTTGCCTGACTATCGGCTCCCTGGGGTTGGACTGGGGATGGGGAGGGCAGGATGAGGTAGTCACCTGTGTGCCCATGACCTACACCCTGCTGGTCCAGTGCCCACACCAAGGAGGTGCTCAGCCACGGGCTAGGAGATGCAGGAGCATGGGCAGGTGGCCCCAGCCCAGGCAGGCCCTGGCCACCACCTCTGCCAGCAGGAAACAGAACCTAAGCCACGTGTGCCTTGACCACCCGGCTGCTGGCAGCGAGGACCCGGGCCTGTGCCCAGATATGGGGGTGGCACCCAGGCCAGGCCCTGTTCCTGCAGGCTTTGGAGGGGCAGGTGGCTGGGGCTTGTGTCCTGGTCCCTTCCCCTGAGCCAGCTCTTCGGCCCACAGGAGACACGTGCCGCCGGGAGATGTGGTCCAACCCCCCTCACCCCCACGGCCTGCCCACCCGCAGTGGGCCAGGACGGCGGCCTGCCGGCGGTGAGGGTGGTGGGTGGGCCGTGTGGGGGCTGCCGCCTCCTGCCTCCTCCTCCCTCCCCCTGGACTGGAGCAGCTTTGATCCAATTTTCAGTTGTGGGAAATATGAAATGAATGGTGTTGAATCCTGGCCGGATGAAAGGCTGGTTCCCTCCCTGAGTTCGGGCCAGATGGCAGCTCTGGCGGCCTCCGAGGCACACGCCTGGCCTTTGTGGGCCGTTTAACACTGTGAATGGGGCCAAAGTGTGGGAAACTCACTAGGCTCCCGGCTCACACCATCCACGGCGGGCTGTGGAGGGGGCTGGAGGAGGGAGGGCTGGAGGCTGCTCCAGGCTGGCAGAGGCTCTGCCACGTAGACGCGCTGTGGAGTGTTGGGGGCTGGGAGCCTCCACCTTGGCTGCCTCAGTGTGGGATGGGGGAGTTCTTCCCCCTCAGTGTGGGATGGGGGAGTTCTTCCCCTAGCCCGGCTTTGAGGAGGGAGGGAGTTTGTCCTGCCTGCACCTGTCTGAGCCCCCCACCCTGGAGGGCTCCGTAAGTCTGAGGGGCTTGATAGTTGGGGTGGGGTTGGTGCATCTAGAGTTGGTAATACTCCTCCCGCCTCCACACACACAGCCATTGAGGCAGGGCGCTTTGCTGCGTCAATTCACGATGCTGTGCCGCCATCATCACTGTCCATCTCCAGAAAATGTCCTTCTCCCCAGGCTGAACCTCTGTCCCCACGAAACACGGACTCCCTGTTCCCCTCTGCAGCTCAGCAGCTGTTGAGGCAGGGCACTTTGCTGGGGGCCTTCAGGCAAAACCTACAAGTTGGGCATGATTAAGTTAGAATGCGTGCGTCTAGAACCATGATCCATTTCTAAATAATCCACACGCCCAGCACCACTCCCCTCCAGGGCTGACAGTAACGTGAAGAGCTCCCTGGAGAGGAGGGACCCCTGGGGGTGGGGGGCGGTGGGAAGCTCCGGGGGCATTTGCTCCCAGCTCCAAAGCAGAACGTGAAGCTGGGAAGGTCAAACAGCGCAGACATTAGAAAACAGCCTGGCAGTTCTCCAAAACATGAAGTGCAGACCCAGCAGCTCCACTTCCAGGTCCACGCACTAGAGAATGGAAAGCAGGACCTCAGGGGTGTATTTGGGTCCTGTCTTCAGAGCAGTGCGGTTCCCTAACCCAAGAGGTGGCCCCACCCCAGTGTCCGTGAACAGACAAATGTGGTCCATTCACATAGTGGACCGTTCTTCAGCCTCAGAAGAGAAGGAGCTTGTGATGCAGGCCACAGCAGGCCTGCACCTTGAGGACACTGTGCTCAGTGACATAAAGCAGTCACAAAAGGGCCCATCCCAGGTGATGCCATAGTACGAGGCCCCTAGAGTCGTCAGATTCACAGACAGAAAGTGGAATGGTGGGTGCCAGGGGCTGGGGTGATTAGGCAGAACCTCTGTTCCTGGGGACAGAGGTTCGGCTTGGGAGACGGACATTTTCTGGAGGTGGACAGTGGTGACAGGGGCACAACATCACGAATACTTTTCATGATCCGGAACTCTACACTGAAAAATGGCTAAGATGGTTGTTTTATGTTATATATATATATTGCCACAATCAGAGAAAACAAGAAAGAGGAGCTTTTTTGGAGAAGAACCATGAACTCCCTTCTGCTGCCCCTTCCCCACCCAGGCAGTCATAGCCCCCAATCCCCCTCAGGCCCTGCCTCCTCATGGCCATAGCAGAGGAGCTAGGTGTGGTGCCGGGCACCCCCAACCTGGTGTTCCTGTCCCCAAGGGTTTCCAGTTTGGGGTGTGGGGAGCAGGCAGGCTGGCGGGGTCCAGGAGCCAGGCTGACCTGGGGAAGGAGGGTCGGGGTAACCACAGCTCCCAGCTTTTCCCTCTTCCAGCCCCTGAAGCCCTTGCTTGCGGGCCTCTGGGTGGAAACTCTACTTGAAGTCTGCAAAATGTCCTCTGCCTGAGAAGCGAGTTCAGGGAGATGGCCCCTTTCCGGATTTCAGAGACAGTGGCCTCCCCCACATCCAGGACCCCTGCCTGAACGGTGGCTGGCACTGCCTGCCTTTGCCCTGGGCCCATCCACACACGGTGGCCCTGGGGCCAGGCCACCCCCCTTCATCAGCAGCCAGTCCATCTGCCTCAAGGAGGCACCGGCTTGTTTCCCCAGGTGTGAACAGATGCAGCTGGACCAGGTGTGGCTCCGAGTCTCCACCTGCGGCCAGGGAGGGCACCTGTTCACGGGAGGAGGAGTGGCTGGGAGGGGGTGGAGATCGCTCTTTGAGGCTCCAGGCAGGAGCTGCAGTGGGGGAGGGAGGAAGAGTCCCAGGCGCTAAGCATCTACCTGCGAAGCACCAAGCAGGTATGGAACATGGAAATCTGACTTCCCGCACGCCCTTTGCTCACTCTACCGCTAGGGGGCTGGGGGCGAGAGGGTCACAGAGGTTAAGTGACGTGCCCAAGGTCACATGTATTCTGGGTCAGCTAACAGGAGGAGTCAACACTCGAGTATTTATTATGCACTTCAC